TTTACAAATAGATATGCTTCAATTGATGTATTATAAAATTACTCGAAAACTCTGTTTTCTGTGAAAATGAGCTGAATTTTCCAGTTTTGGAAATGCACAAACGCCATTTTTTCAAAAATTGCACCAGATTTTATATTATTGCATTTGTAAGTGGAAGTGTTTCAAATGAATTTTTTCTCAAAATCTCAAAGTGTTTCGAGTAAAAGAGCTTGAGAAAATTTGGCATTTCCAGTAACAGTTTAAGAAATTTTTTTACAAATTTCTCCAAGAGTTTCAATGATAATTTTCCAATAAGAAAGATATTATTCTTCTTTAATATTTTTAAAGTAATCTTTTGGTTCTTTCTATTAAGAAATTGTAAAATTGTGAAAGTAAAATAAAAGTACTTTGGTCAGCGATAATTGTCAGCTGGCAAGAGGATTGGGCAAGACTGAAAACTAGCATAGACCAAAGACTTTAGAAAACTTTGTACAAGAGTAGATAAAAATGTTTTGATTTTAAATAGCTGGTTGTTTTTTTTGGAACGACATTCTACATTATTTTTTGTAGAGATATAAAATTAACAAAATACTAGTCTACACAAATTGTGTTGCTATATATAAATATGTAAGATAACTTTAATTGCAGAAATTTGATACTTCAAAAGCTCCACTCTGGCAATCGCCTATTTAACTCATTCACAAATTTGTGCCTGAGATTGTTCACTGATGACAGATTCACTTTTTTTACAAACAAAAGTTTATTGAACACAATCAAAATTATCAAATTACAATCATTTGAGACATTATCCAATCTAAGTTTATAATCTACAATGTAAGTGTTCAGTGATACACATATCACATTCAATAATATTAATTAATTAAAATATAAATGTACATTGACATGATCAAATAATCTGGCCCCACTTAACCTAATATTTATCTAAGTTAAATTGCTTTTCTGTGATATTCTGGTGGTGCAATGCCATAATCCTGTAAGCTGAAGAGACTTGCAGTATTTTTGTGGAGGTACCTGCAACATTATAAAACACATACTTGTAAATTGAACAGTGTACGGTTATCTGACAATTAAATATAAAATAATTTGCTTATTTTATTTAAGAAAGTCATATGAAACTCAAATTAGTTTTATACAGTCTGCAATGTGAGTCCTTACAACTCACGAGTACTTCACACATTTTTAAATGAATGCACAAAATAATCTGAATAATTTCTTTTCAACTTTTAACAAATGTCATCAGAACTTGTGGATGATTTTTTGATTCTAGTGAAGTTTATACTTCCACATTCTTGTATTACTGTTTTCTCCAGAGCCACGACCTCTTTCTGACTACTGAGCTCATATCCTTTAAACACTCCAGACACAAAAGTTCAACAGTCTTCTCTAATTCCTAGTATTTAATGCAGGAACTAAATTTTACACACTGTGAGAATGTTTCCAATGTTGTCTGGAGAAGCCTGAACTGCCCAATTAAGTAGCCCTAAATGGAGCAGTATCCAGTTGACCAAATAAGAAGTCTAATAAATGCAAAGTAGGAAATGGGAAGTGCGTCACAGATTCAGTACGTACAGTACGTTCATACTAGTCATAGTAAGAAGAAGCCACAATTTTAATACAGGGTCATAATCTGTATGGTCCCATGACTTCAGATTTGCATTGTCATGTACATGAAAATATCGCTTAATGTCTTCAAATCTGTTTCTCGAAATATAATCTGAGACAGCTGCAAATCTTGATGTGGATTTCCGCACCATTCCGAAAGACATTTTGTAAAATGTTATGAAATAATAAGTGATAATTGAATTTATTTTTCTAGTATGCTAAGTTACTTGTAATTAGGTAGTTTTATCACACCCAAGATAGAGTAAAATTGCCATGTATTGCTCCCTTCCCGAGTACTATACTTTCAACTCAACCCCAGAGGAGTTAATGGACTATTTATTGATTTCTTCTCCAAGAACATCAAAAATTTCTGAGAAGAAGAAACTAACAAAAAAAAACAACCAAAGGACTGCTTACGTCCTCTGATGGTAAAGGCATGAAAGATTCGCAAACCACTATGTTCTTAGTGTAAATTGTTGTTTTCTTCAAATCAAGGGAGCTCTTTTGGAGCTGCTTGTGTTAGGAATTGTGATTGTTGGCAAGTACATTGTATTCACCGATAGGGGGTTGTTTCACCACTTCATTGATGCTATGAACATGTGCTTGTGTATCATCATCATCATAATAATAATAATAATAAATACCAATTATAGAAGATTATCTACAAAACTTTTTACATTGCATTTCATGTTTACTTCCAACTTGAGAATTTGTCCTTGATGGTCATTGCCCGAGACACTGTGTTCCTAATTCTTGTACAATGGAACACATCTTTTGTCAAATCCAGACATCACCATCATTGTCAGATGAGTAACCATCTAGCAAGTACAAAAGTTTTGTAATTTTCTCCTCTAGAAGAACCATATTACGAAAAAATGATATTACGCACAATACTTTTGTACATTTTGTCTATGCCTGATGCATCTTAGAGGATACACAGAAGTTTAACCCGTCTGCAATGATCTGATTTGTCAAATTTTTTGTCAATATTTCAAATACCACGTATGTTACTATGTTGTTTTCTGCCTCTCAAAAGTTTGCAAAAGAGAAATCACTATTACTCACAAAATGATGGCTATAAGTAATGCAACATGTAACTTAAAAAAAATTCCATGTGCACTGTCACATTCACTTTGTGGAATTTTTGCCCAGAAGAATATTCTAGGAAATTTGTTGTTGGGAATCAAATGTTGACTGTTCCAGTATACGTATTTACTGGGACTTAAATTATATCACAAAACAAAATGACACCGTAAAGCAAACACATTGTATGTGCAATAATACAGTGGGCATGAAAGGGTTAACTGCCAGTGATAATGTTCTCAGCACATAAATAACCTAATTGTCGCTGAGAGGATACATGAATACAAATCAAGTAAATTGCCATGATAATAAAAAATATGAAAATGAGACCTTTAATGAACAAACGGATACTTTTAGGCTCTAATGCTGAAATAGGTATTTTAGGCAAACTAAATGTTCTTCCTGTAATATTTGCAAGTCACAAAAAGAGTTTATAATTAATTTCGTATCTATGTCAAAAATATAAAAATTATATTATTATTTACAGCTAAGATATCAGAATTCTATTAAATTTGCCTTTTGTTACATACTAACTAGTCAAAATGTTCACATGTGAGCAAGTTATTTCCTGTTTCAAAGCAATTTTGCTTAATATCCATGTGGGGTACACAAAAACCCTGCTCGGTATTCAGCATTACAATTAGAACTTGGAAGGCAGAGGGTTAAAGAGAACATCAGTTGAAAGATACAATTTTCCCCTTCAATAATTTCAGAAATGTGAAATATATTAAATTGATAATTTCATAATTTACAATTTAAATTTTCCATTCACTCCAAAGGTTTCGATATTTCTCAATCTTGGAGTCTGTAACCTAGTATAATTCTTACATTACGCTGGGATGTTGGTGCCACATAGAGGGAAACGAAACTTGCCTAAATACACGCAACCTGTGCATGTTCTTAACTCACCTTAAAAAGTCCTGAATGTGAGTGAGAAGCAACTGAATACTCTTCTCGTCAAGGGGTGTGTATGCCAACATACTACCCAATTTTACTGCAAAAATGTTTAGCAATTAAACTTTTTCAAGTAAAGAAAACCAAATATTTAAGTCAGTGAACTTTTGTACCTATACTACCTACCAAATAATCTTAAAAGATGAATTGCTCCGTATATCTTACTCATTGGAGTGTCTGGGTGAGTTTGTAAAATCTATGAACAAAGAAAGATTCTTGAGCCAAAGGATAATTTGTTAATAACAAATTCTTTATACATATATGAATATACACATCATCTCACCTCAGCATATTGAGGTCTTTCAAACTTGTAAAGTAGTTGAGTGCCCAACATGACATTAAAATATTCTTTAATTCCATTCGTTACTTCGATTAATGCACTTTCTCTGAAAAACAAAATAATAAATCAAGCATGTAAAAAGTGTCAGACATGCATTAAGTTTCCTTATGTATTAATCCAAGATATTTGTAAAAGCTCTTTTGCTTTCTGTTTACAATACTATTATAATGAACTGATAATTATTAAGCAAGAAAAATGGAAGATCTAAATAAAAAATGAACACACGTGAGAACCCTCATTAGTCAATACCATAGGTGAAACTGGAGGCTCCCCCACCTGTCCCATTATTATTATTTATTGAACTTTCACATCCATGTAAAATGTATTAATATTAAATGTTAAACAATTATTGAAACTGTTGAATTCCAATTTAATAATCAAATACAACACAAACGCTTGCAAAAAGAAATGCACAATGAAGAATAATTCCAGAGATCCCTTTCCATTTCATGAAAAAATTTTCCAATATTTCTTGCAAGTGCCACAACCACTTTGTGCAAGCAAGGACAGCGCAGTTCCGAAAGCTTCATGGGTTAATCATTTAGAACTGAGAGCATTGAATTGGGGATCAAGAAGGATTCGTGTGACTGAAAGCACTGTTTGGAAACACTAAGGAACAAGAAAACTAATTGATTTGTACAGTAACACATTTCTAAGAACACACATTTCACATTCAAAAGAATTCATGTTTCTAAAAATATTTGTGCATCTCAACGTTCAGAACAAGGGTTCTGTTTTAGCCTAATCTCTGCTTAGCTCACTAATGGTAGTCAGCTTTAAAACATAGTTTTCGAGATCACTCTGAAAATGGTCAGAAGCTTCTAGTTTCCTTTCTTCACATTTCTTCAGTTTCAGAAAACCAATAAATCACACATTCAGGCAGACACTAAAATCTAAAACAAATTCTGCACCTTGAAATAGTCATCAATCTTACAGTTAGTGCTCTGTGCCTCAGTAAGACTTGTTGATAAGCATACTTGTTAAATCCTAAGTACTGTACATACTTCTGATATGCAGAGGCTCCTTCCTATAAACGTTTGACTGTCATAATTCAGTCAGAAAACAACTGTAACCTGACAAAATAATTTTGAAGTATAATTTTCTCAAGATATATTAATAATTATAATATATTCTATTTAAAAAGTATCAAATTTGTTGGTAACTTTGAACTGAGGTAGATGATTGATACTTTTTATGTACATATATTCTCCATAATTCAATGTACAAAATTTACCCTCAAATATCAACAAGTTGTCCATTGTTTCTAATATTCAACTTCTCAAATACTTACTTGTTTGGAGTATTACTTTTACTGGAAATTTTGTGCTTTATGTAATTTTCAATAATCTGATCCACAGGCACTTTGGCGGGTAAGTTAACCAACTGAAATTTTATTAAAAACAAAATTTAAAAAAAAAGCAACATTAACATCAATCTGTAAATTGGAGGAAAAGTTTCATAAATATCTTCAAATTTAAGGATGAGCTATCTCTGCCCCTTTGTTGCACTTCGATTCTCCCATATGAATATCTGACCCTTCTTGTCACAAAAAGAAAAGTTAAAACTTTGCTATTTTTCAATACCTCAATAAAAATGTATGATGAATTTATTTTGATCAGCTGGGATATGGTTGTCCAATTGGTAGCTTCAATACCAAAAATTAAGTTGCATCGAAGCACCCAATTAGACAACCACATCCCAGCTGATCACTGTCAATTCGCTGTATGGTTTGATCAGGAAGTAAGTGGTCTACAAGTCAAAAAGAGTACTACAAAAAACACCAGAACATTCTTTTGCAGACAAACAAAGAACTTATTGCAATAAAAATATTAGGAACAAGTAAAACATTGAATACTTAGGGAGGCAAAGAGAAAAGAAAAGTTTAATTACAATAATCGGAGCAAATTTATTTTATGAATTAGTGACCAGTAAGCTTTCTTCTATTATAATTCTTTTCAAACATACTATTTTATTATTATTATTATTATTATTATTATTATTATTATTATTATTATTATTATTATTATTAATAATGATATATTAGTCACATAAATAAGCCATGTATAACAAATCAGGATATGTACATAATCATACAATGTACAAGTAAGATTATTTTATTTCTAGTATTCAAATAAAGAATAATTATATAATTCGTTAATTTTCCTTTCCTCACTGAGGATAGAACATTAATCTCAAAAATCACTGATTAAACATTTTCAACCATTTATGATACAGAAAAGTGTTTTTATTTAATGGTATAACATTGCCAATTTTAACAATTTTGGAAATGATTTTAGAGATATGAAACACTTTTTTTCATAAGGATCAATATTGCTTTTACCCATTCCTTAACTTGAATCAATAGTTGCTGAAAATCAAATTCAAACTGAACAGATCATTTTTTGAAAGCAAATTAACTTTTTCTTACACAAACAAGAGGCCATCAAAAATTTATCATGCATTTAACACCTCTTACATTATTTCTACATTATCAATTTGCTAGCAAAGTACAATTCAAAACTAACAAACATGCTCAAAGAGGGCTCAATAGCTTCTGCTAATTTAATAGGTCTCCAAACAGAGTTCAAATTGTTTTAGAAGTTATTGAAAATACTATTTGGCATTCCCAATTCTTTGTTTCCTTAAGAGTAAAATTAAAACAAATTAGAGATTAAATTAAAATTAATAATTTCTATACCTTCCTCTGGCGTGATATAAGATCCCAATCATCAACTAGCCATGGTTTTAATTCATCAGGAATTTTAACTTTCACTTCCACTTTTGTAAGAAACTGTTCTTCCTATGAAAAGGAAATTAAAAAGATAAACAACACTGAAACAACATGCCAAAATAACTTTCTGAACCATTATAAAACAAAAAGCTTACAGTTTCAACAGTAGGATCCAGTCGTCCTCTTTTCTTTCGTGGTACATCAGAAGATGAATCTTGAGATGAAGATGGGGTAGAAGACAAACCTTTGACTTTTGCAGATGTTGACTTTTCAGTTGAGGGTGTTGATGCTCTACTATCAGCATCTTTTCCACCTTCTGACTTACGAGCTTTTGTTGATTTCTTTGTCTTCCTGAAAGCAGAGCGTTTAATATGCATAATTGAACTCAAACAGAAGACTGTCTGAAACAACCATGACTAAACTTTAGTTGCCCCTAGAAACAAAAACAAACTTTTATATTAACTACTTACTGGGGATTTGCTTTATGGGCTCTCTGTAATTCTTTCTGTTTTTGAACATTTGCCTCATTATATTTTAAAACTCTGCTTTCAGGCACCCACTCATCCCAACTGTAAAAATATAATAGTACAATCTCAAAATTAGCAATCAAGATATTTTTAAAATATTTCATTCTGAAATAAAAGAATATCTTACTTTTTATTCCATCCTGCATAATGTATGTAATATCGGACTTGTTTGTCTTTTACCTCTGATTCAAGACATTTTGCTTCATAAATTAAAGGGCCATGAAAACAAAGCACTTTTTCCCCTAGAAGCATCAAAAGAACATTTGTGATGTAATGTTCACCAAATACAATCAATGGATACCAATAAATTATGAGAAATAAGTAGAGATCCACAAATTATAATAAATACGATTTTATTCTAATTAAATAATTTTAAATGCAAAAGGTATTATGAAAGAAATAACAGTTTTCTCGCCAATAAATGTTCTGCAACAAAAGCATTGCCAGTGATTTTCTCACTGTGTCTTTCTACACAAACAAAACTACATAAAAGAAATTTAAATCCACCTTACCTTCTTGAAATTTGTACTTCGGAGGCATCTCTTCAATAAAGGAAGTTTAAGGTCGTGTTTTACCCCAAGCCATCTAACCTCTAATCCGCTCCTCTCAGTCCTTGTTGCACATCGAATGGAATGTTAGAGAGCATTTGTAATTACATAAAATGCAACCACGAAATAAATAATATTTCTGGTATTTTCAGGCACACAAACACAAAGGCAAGAACACCTCTATGAAATGCAAGGTTTGTAGCGTTCAAGGCATGTGCACTGTGACTGAGGGCGATTATCTACCAAGTTTTACGTCTGGCTTCAAATACGGCCATAACCAAACAAAGGGCGAGATTCGCACGCGCTCCCTTGTCGCGAAGGCATCAGCGTAACCGTTCTAATATGCGTACGGAATAGCATTAGATATGTTTTGAAACGAAGGTACAATAAAACAGATTTTGTATTGTAGTTATAGATGATGAATCCCGGTTCACACTTAAAAACATATCATCATACCCTTGAAAAGATATTACTTCATTATTCATCAAAAATTATTACTTCAACAAAAGCAATTTTAATTTCGATGTCAAATAACTCGGGTATGCATTTGAGTAAATAATAATATTTTTTCATTTATCAAAAGTGTGTGAACCTGTGTTTGATAGATTATAATCTACTTAAAATTTAATTACTGAATGAAGTTATTATCAAAATAAATATAAAAAATTAAAAAAAGCTTAGTAGAGTAATAGTAGCTTCAAAATTCCTTTTGGAGGTAACAGTTATATAATCAAAAACACAATAGTTACAGATTTAAATATTTAAAAGTCTGCATATGCTCTGATAGTGAACAATTTGTTGTGCTTAGTATCCTTCAGTTTCCTCCTGGAAGGACAAAAATTAAATTACCTACTTATGAGAAAAAAGGACGAGAAATCACTAGATTATTTCACTGTGTTTGAGGCAGTTCTTGGACAATTTTGGAAGAAAATACTAAACAATAGCAAAATATTCAATCTATTATTTATTATTCAAACTTATCACACATCTTACATTCCCTGAAGGGGAGTAAAAAAAAAAGAATTCACCACATTATTAGCACTTAATACAGTCTGCATGTATAGAAACTTCGGGAGATACAAAGTAATTCGACAAACTCAAATGGATCATACATTTAAAGTCTACATTCCCAGAAAGTTACAGAAGTAGGCTCCCATAAATATGCTTTGCAGGCTTCTTTAAGAAGAATAAATAGGATTACACCAATGAGGTAATAATTGTACACTTCTTAATGTAAGCACACATCAGTTCAATTCGTACACATCAGTTCAATTAATTTGTAATTGAAATACAAATAACATAAGCATTACAAATTAAGAATACTATCCACAACACTAATTTCATAAACATTATAAATACTTTAAACAATTCAGAGATATGGACAAAAACACCTCTCAGGTGACAATTCAATAAAATAATTAAAAAATTTCAATATCACAAACAAACATCATCGTAGTCCATCAATGTAATTGATTTCTACAGTATCTACTTCAAAGCAAAAGTACATAGAATATGTTAATAACAACTCATAAGAAGACATTTTACAAGTCTTGTGTACATAAATGATTGTAATATCAAAGTGACATAACATTCAAAGTTATCATTACGAATGCTATTGTCAATAAATTATTCCCATAGACAAGGGGAATAAAAAATTATAGTAAAAATATTTGTTTTCATGTCTTCAGTTCATGCCACGAGAAGTAGGAATTAAATACATAATTAGCATTTCAAATGCACAACTCATGTTTTTCAAGACTAGGATTACAAGCCATATCATGCCATGAACTTTTCTAATTAATCTTCACATGAGAAATAATAAACTAATGCTACACAAAAATAAGATCTAAAAAATGACTTCCCAATAAGACATTTTCAAAATTTTGCCCTACATGAGAACAAATATTTATTGCACTTATTTCTATGTAACTATTAGGTAAAGAACACAGCACCATGAGCTAATAATATCACAACACAGCAAATACTGAAAAATACATTAACACTTTTCCTCACTGTGAAGAATTAAAAACCATCCCACAGAACTTACATTGTTCTTTGGAATGGAGAAATTGTAGAAGTATTAGTAATAATAATAGTAGTAGTGGTGGTGGTGGTATTAAATTATTAACACTGAAGGAGAAATGCGAGACTATCGAACAAGATAATCTATCAAAAGAAAAAGACGAGGAGAACAGTGAACTCATCTTCCAAAACAGAAGAAAGTACATTTCATTATTCTATAAATAAAGCAAAACACTTATTTTCCAATAAAATACTTAAAACTTTCAAATTATTTCTGGCAAGTTATTTATGTTTTGTAAAATATCAATTTTTTTAAGCAATAAAACAAAAAAGTAATTACTAATATTCAATTGTGATATTTCTGCTCATCCAAATCCAACTAAATCATTTCAGAGAACATTCTAATTTCCACCGTACACCAATACTATCTTGATATTAACATTAATGAAAGATTCAATAGTACCTATTAATAATAAAGGAGCTTGCAAAATATTACTAATAATAGGAAAATAATGTGAGGTACTCTTTCATATGATACCTGACAAACAAATGATTATATCCTGTTAGAAAATATTATACTATTCACCACACTTTCTGAAAGGAGCTAGCAAAATTTGTAACAAAAAGGTTTTTAAAATACCCAATGTCCATAAAACCAAAATTGAGGAATGTTATCAACAACTTTCACTTTGGATGTTGCCCTCTGTTATAGTGCTGATAATTAGGATTGTAATTCATGTAAGAATATCCTCTAATTGGCCGACCATGATAATTTTTGGGTTGATCTGGTTGTTCTGTGTTCCCTTTCAAAGAACTGAAGAAGGCAGACTTAGGAACAAATGGAGGAACTCTATCCCATAAATCACAAAGTTCTTCTCCAACACTTGGTTCAATTTCCTAATAGGAAAAATGAAAAATGTTAAAAATGTTAGAATAATCATTACATTCAACAATATAATTCAATGACTGCTTTGAATGAAGAACCGAGAATGATCTGTATCTACATAAATGAATATGGTGAAAATGTGAGTACATCAGTTCACAAAACATCAACAGAGAAATATAAGATCTAGTAATACAAGTGTTCACAAAAATTTCCATATTTACCCAAATATAAGTTGACTCTGTAAATATGAATAGGTCTCCTGAAAATTTAAATTTTTAACTAATTTTTACTATTTAGTCCAAATAAGATTCCAAATTGTCTTGATGAGAATGTTAAAACTTATGGACCAAGCTACCACAATTTTGTTTTTCCTTAAAATCATTGTAATCTTGGCTTTTGTCACCACCATCTTCATCTTCACGTTTATCATTGTTTCTTTTTGGACCTCCTCCCAAATTGTATCATCCTCTGACTTTTTAGGCTCCCCTAAATGTTTTGTGCATTGAATTTGTGTTTGTCTTTCATCTGACATTGCCTAAGGACATTCCCTTTTGAATAACCAATTTTCTTCATGGTGCCCTCTGATACAGAATATAGCCGAATTGAAATTCGCTTCATTTAATATTCACATCCAACTCCAATTCACAATATATATCCGCAATAAAATGAGCAAATTAAAGTATTTGTCTTTATATAGCAGTTAACTATATTCAGTGGGAAGAGAACTAATGAGCAACTAATGGGGAAACATGTGAGGAATATTTAAGTAGCACATTTTATAGTGGATGCGTGTTATGAACTAGAGTTTTATTCATATTAATGAAAGTCTATACCTGATAATGGGGCCATATTGTCTCAAAACATTGTAAATTCAGTTCTGCTAACAATTATTTAAATGTCTGTCTAAACTATTAGGTTGTAACAAAGTAAAAATAACAAGTAAAACAGAGACAGGCTTAAAAAACAACAAATAAACTGAATTAATTTCTCTATGCAACAGAAATAAGTTAAAGAGGTTAATTTGAAGAAAATACATTTTTTATTTATTTTGAATGAAAAAAATGTTTGGGTCCTGGGGTAAATTGCACCCTTCTGGACACTCCTGACTACAGAACTCTGAAAAAAAGTTTTAAATTCTTTGACTGTACACGAATGCAAGTAAAACACCTGTGTAGAAGTGAAATTCTATTTTCATGAAACCATAATTCCTTTGTTAAGGGTAGTTTTACACACAACTTGGAATATGGAGAAACACAATAATAGCACTAATAGAGTTAATCTCATTTTTACACAAATAAGATCTAGTTTGAACAGCTTTTAGTTTGTAATAAAACTGTTAGACAAATCTTCCAGAGGGTAAGATGTAGTTGGAAGTATAGTATAGATAAGTTGCAAAATAGATGACCCAAACATTTCCTAAATCAAAAGGACTATGGCAACGATGCCGTTTGTCACCTGCTCTCTTTAAAATGTACGTTAATGTGGTGTTACAGGTATGGAAAAGAAAATGTGCTGGAATGGGAATACCACTTGATGATAATACAACACTCCATGCCCTACAGTTCGCTGATGATCAGGTGCTGATGGCGCAAGAACAAGATGATATTGAATATACGACTAAGAAGATAAAAGAAGTTTATGAGAAATGGGGACTAAGCCTCAACCTAGAAAAAACAGTATACTGGACTCTAGGCAGTACACATGATGTATTGACTATGGAAACTGGAGGAATAATAACAACAACAGAGGACATAATATATATAGGTCAGTAAAGTTCCATATAGCACAAAACCAAATTTAATTTAAGATGGTATTCTTAAAAAATCATGATTGAAAGGCGATATTTACATACATTAAACAGTGAAACCAAAGACATTGGAATAGTGTACTAGACCCACGCACAGCACTAGTGGAGCGTTTAAATTGAATCGTTTGCTGGCAGCCATGTTGGGGGCAATCTTGTGGGCATTGAGCCGGATTGCGGTGATATTTCATTTTCATTTGTATGTTGTTGTTGTTGTTGTTGTTGTTGTTGTTGTTTTTTGCACAAGAGGAAGATTCTGAACGGTAAGAGGTAAAATGAAGAATGAAGTATGAAATGAAAAAATAAAGTAGAGTGTGGTTTACACATATACAAATCGTGAGCCAAAGTCTGCGCACTGTAATTTTTACAAGTACATCATTTAACTATTTGATGTAACCTACTGAATGTGCTGGCTACTTTTACTAAGTAATTTGGTGGTCATGAATAAAATAAAATCAATGAATTTTAATATCACTTGAACTAAAGTTAGTTTAACTTTGTAAATTACTACTTTCTTTGGGGAGACCTTGCTGTTTTTCTAAAGTAGGTAAAGAAGTATTTATATTCTCAAAATTCAAACTTAATACAGGAATATTGAGATTTCGGTGTAGAAGTTGGTGGGAAGAATGGGTATATACTAATACCGATTTACATCATTATTTACTCCAGGTATCTGCATTCTTCATACCAAACTTGGAAAGATATTGAAAGCGTATCAAAAACAACTTATAGTTTTTTATTTAGAGTAGAATTCTAAAAATTTAGCATAACATGATGTTCACTTTTACTGAAAAAGATTCAGAATTAGTGAAGATAAACAATTTTTTAACTGAGTGTGGATTAGGGGGTTACACTTTAGAAATAAATTACAAAAGTTTCTGAAATAAATGTCCCGACATGTACAATATGATGTTTTGTGAGGGAAAATTGCACCAATCTATCAAAATAGCATATTTTCAAGAAACTATCTTCAATGGCTTTAATACAATATGAACTTATCACAGACTAGACAACCTCATGGAGTACCTACAAATCCATTTTTAGAGTAATATATTTACTAATAGAAACTATTACGCATATTTTTCTTTCAAATGTGCTATTACAAGTACCCAAACAATGTTAGCGATGCGCTTTAAACAACAGTGGTTTTCAAAGCTTTATAAAATTGTACGTAAAGATGTTTATCATACATATTATATAGCTATATAAAAGCTGATGTTTGAATGTTAGTTTTGTCTATGGGTAATTCCATGCGAACTCAGCACGACATGACACTGGACCATCTCAGATTTTTAAAAACTATTATTACTTTTTTTAAATTTGTTGTGGAGAATTGATATCTAAAGTTTCAGCCCTCTACGATAATTATTTTCTGTTTTACAAGTGCTATATTTTTTTAATGGATAAGGTGTGATTTTGAAAGAAAAGTAAGTGAAAAATCGTTGTGTGACATTTTTAAGCACAAAATTTTATTCCATACTAATTAAATTGGCGAATTTGCGAAAAAAGTATAAAAGTCATGTGATTTTTCAAATTTATTTTCAATGCTATTTCTTAAACTGTTTGAAAATTGTGATTTGAATTTAAATGAACAAAATGGCTACCGCTAGTCCCCTTGCGCAGAATGGAGATCGATATCGAACATATTGAAGGCGCAAGGGCGACTAGCGGTAGCCATTGTAGTAATGGTAATGGTAATTAGTATGGAATAAAATTTTGTGTTTAAAAATGTCACACAACGATTTTTCACTTACTTTTCTTTCAAAATCACACCTTATCCAGTAAAAAAATATAGCACTTGTAAAACAGAAAATAATTATCGTAGAGGGCTGAAACTTTGGATATCAATTCTCCACAACAAATTTAAAAAAAGTAATAATAGTTTTTAAAAATCTGAGGTGGTCGGGTGTCAAGTCGTGCTGAGTTCGCATGGAATTACCCCTATTTTACTTTAAACAATGAGTACATATTTTGATACATCATTCATACAACATATTCAGATGTACGGAAATGCGGAAAAGTTTTTAAAATTTCAAAGTATTTGAATTAGATGTAAATTTGCCCCCATCGTGACTGCCAGCGCAAGCTTCAATTTGCAACGGGGAAGGACGGCCATTACTACATGATTGTGGGGTCTTGAATGAAATTATGTTTATGTGCTAACCACACATATCCCTTAACCCATGTCCGCAAGGCCAGGACGCTGCTGGTATGCCTCAGATCGTAAAGCGCTGCTGTACCAAAGTACACACATACAGTGAATTGTGTATAATGCGGAAATCTGTCTATTGTGAACATAAAGTATGATCCTGCCGAATGTAAATTAAACAGTTTTACATTGCATAATGCGAAATCTTGCATAATATGGAAAACAATACTGGTTCCTTGAGATTTCACATTGGGCAAGTTTTACTGTAGGATGCTTTTGCTCAAAGAAATCCTTATAAAGCATTCAATAAGATCAGCCAAATATCCTAGCAACATTTGAAACACAAAAAAGTGAATGATCAAATATTCAAATAAGTTATTTAGAATTGCAAAAACAACGTTAACAAATTTCTCCAATAAAGTGGCAATTGTATGATTTAGGAAATATATCAGCATTTCCCTGCTTGAAAAATGAAGAAAAGTTAAAGGCTTGATTTGCCTAATTACTTTCCTTCCATTTGCTTACATTAATATTCCTTCACTGATTGTGACCACACTTATTGCAATTATGGAAATTAAAGATAATCAAAACTAGCGGAACCTGGCAGACGCTATTCTGCCCTTCGTCTCCCTTTCTCTCTCTTCGCCTCTCCTCTCCCCCTAGCAAAAACATAATAAAATGTTCAAAAAGATCTCATCCTATAAAATACTGTGTGAGAAATGTTCTTTGGGGCCTTTGGCTTCAACATTTTAGTTTCTAATGCCACAGAATGCTTTGTTTAGGAATTATTTAATGATATAGATTCAAAAAATTTGGTTGCATATGTTGCAGGTTGCATTTGTCATGAATATTTAGTTTTGTTCCACAGCACAAATTTTCCAATATTTTACTAGTTATTCTGCTATTTGGTGTGGAGATGAATCCAACAAATCAGAGATAATTAAAATTAATCCAGCAGTTCTTTAGTTATAAATGCTGTAACTAATCTGACTTTGTTTTATATAAATAGATGTCCAGATCCTATTAGCTTTTTGCAGAAAGGCTTCATTCAACACACTACGAAAAACTTAGCATTATACCTCATATGATGTATTGGAGGCACATTTATGGAAGCACATATGAAATATAATTTTATAAAACAATTTTTAAAATGAGATATTTTTAGTAGACATTTTGTGTTGTTCAATGAATATAGGAATGATGTTTAAATGTTTTACAGAGAAAATTAAGAAATTCCTTTAATACCCGATGATAATAATAATTCACAGAATTCACTTCTAGGATTGCTTTTAAATTATGTTTTGTCATGAAATTTTCTGGGAAACAGTTCTTAGAATCCCTTACACATTTCCCTGTCTTTATATTACGTCACCTGGGTTCAATGCAAACATGGATTTTAAAGGAAAACAATCTATTTGTCTCTCACAACAGAGCTCAAATAATTTCCAAAACATTCAGTATCAAATATGGTCAACATTACATTTCTCAGAAAAATATTCTGATAGAAAAAATGTCATCGTTAGAAGAAATGTCATTGACCAATATTTACATAAAAATATAGAAACAATTACCTGACCATCACGGCTTGTCTGAACTCTTCGATTTTCATTGAAAGGATTTAATAAATGTCGAGTAGCTTGAAACGGAATGTTAGCCCTTTTCAACCACTCAATGGGCAGTGGAGCACTCATATTTGGTCCTCCTAAGTCTGAACAACTTTCTGCACTATCAGCTTTCATGTCTGGTTTATCACCAGCAAGACGAGCATAACCTTGAAAATGTCCACTTCCTTGGACACTAAATATAAGCATCACTCGCTTTGCTTCCTAAAACAAAAAAGGGGTTGTTTTTTCTGTTAGTGCTGATTTCAAGTATTAATTGAACAATATATAAGACTACTATCGGGCCAAAGAAGGTCAAATAAAGATCAAACAAAAAGTACCTTTAATACACGAACAAGTTTACGCTCTGTACCAGGAGTAAAGGCCCAGGCTCCTTTATTTAAAGATGCTTCTACAGTCTTCATGCTTCCTGCTTTTATTATAAAATAACGTGTGTCACCGACAGCTGCTGTTGAGTTGGTAGCAGTAGGATTATCACCTGCACTACTCTGCGATGGTGTTGGTGATGGAGTATCACTCACATTGCCACTTCCAAATGACTTCAAGCTCCCAGAATCTGAACGTTCACCTACAATAATTCATCCACAATAGTTACAACAAATCTTCTGATCTTATAACATAATCTAACTTACTATCATAATAACATAATCTGGCATTTTTAATTTCAAAAACACACACACACATACACTTTTATTGTTCCAACACTTAAAATTCATTCCAAATATGACAATAGTTAAGAAGAAATATTCAAGAATATTTTTCTAACAATTTTAAGATAATTAGAATGAAAAAAAAGCAAAGAAAATATGGTATCAATATGAGGACCAATCAATTTGAAAATGCTCTCTATATCTCTTCTATATATATCTATATCACTTCTACATATATCTATATCTCTTCTACTTATTTTAGATTGTTTAAATCCCTGCTTATTTAGCACATGAGTTTGCAATGTTTAGTAATAATTGAGTAAATACCCTGAAACTGCCGAAAACAAAAATTTACTGCAGTACAATGTTTTAAAAATATCATGTGTTTGAGTGGAATCACAGGGAAAATAAACGGAACATTTTGAAGAGCAATTTAATTCTTTCTTCAAATTTTCCAATGTTGGTAATGATAACGAAACTGTGATAAAAAAAAATCCATTAAAGGAATGTTAATGACTGTTATATAACTATTAGTAGTTTTATATGATCTTTTTAAAAGGTTCAGTACAAGCAATCATTCTATTTATTTCATTTTATGATGTATCCATCTTGTGAAATCTTTTCCAAAAACTACATCCGGGTCAAGGAGTGTAAAATTGGTTAATATGTCTTTTTCATTGAAAATTTTCTCACATTAAAACACAAGCATGAGAATAGGTTGATTTCTCCTGACCCAGTTGGCCAGGTGAAGAGTCAATACGTTAAATCTGTCAATTGCCTGCCTGAGATGGTACCATGGGATACCTCAGCAGTTCCCCTCAACCAAGAAAAGAAAGATGAAGATGGGCTTATGGGCTACTTCCAAAAGTCGATGATGGAGTATGGCACGGGGTAGAAGGGAGACAAGTCATTGTTTTGAGAACGCATGTACAAAGGAGGCTTAAAAGATGTCAGTGAGGGCAGGGTACTATAGCGTTCACTAGGCTGAAAAGTCCTGATTCAAAAATGTGTTATTGATTGAAATGATAATTATTCATTTTAATTTTCATTCTTGATTGTTGAAAAAAATATTTCTGTAAAATGTACCTTATAAGTGAAGTATTAATTTTTTATTGATATTATTTAAAAACATGTCAATTTACAATATTCAGAAAAAAATTAGGCACTCAGAGAAGAAAAAAAAAAGTTCTTCTAAGTGAAACAACTAATGACTGCTGGTCATTTGCAGCAGCTACAAATTTCAAACGTGTTTGAAATTCAAATTGTCACTCCTAGCTACATGTAGACTTAGTGTTTCTAGACATTCTCGACATACTAATTTCTTTTCAGTTTTAATTTCTCCCACTTACTTCTGATGCTCACTTAGGACAAAACTATATACAGTACCTGAATCTCTATATGCTAACTAAAATTTACATTCTACAACTTGATCAAAATAACTCACTTTCAGATAAAACTTACCTTGTTCAGACATCTTGGAAGAGAATTCTAGTTTACGTTGAGGCCTAAAACGATTCTCATTGTTGCCACCCATGTAAAATTCATCAGATCCATCAGATGGAGGCCTACAACCTAAACAAAAACGTTATGTGTTCAGGATAACAACATTGAAATTTCACTAAAAGAAGTTCAGTTTAATACATTCAATCCTATTTAAAAAAAGTCAAAAATGGATTAGTTCACGGGATGTGGTGGGAGTATAAACAATTAGTTTGCTGACATTTCCAAATCTTTTAATTCATCATCAGGGCTAATGTACAAAAAACAACAAGGCATGAAGACATCAATATACAAACACAATACATAATAATTCGATATTATAATTCTACTACAATTCAGTTGTAGGATCAAAACCTCATGTTACAGCCACTCAACCATGTGTATCCGGTCAGGCAAGTGTTTAATTAAATGAGACAACTCAAAACTTTTTCAACAAAACAATATTAATTAATTGTTTATACTCGGACCAAATCCCATGAACTTCAGCCCTCATTACATAATGATCACGAATTCTACAATGGGTAAAAAAATTTACTAATGAAATTAATACTGATTAGAAGTACAAATTAGGTCATGAGTTGGTCTTAAGATACACTTCATCATAATATTTTATCAAATTAAAATTAAGTGTAGATGTAAGAATACTGTTTTGTGGTACCTGGTGGATATGAATCGACTGACATCGGTCTAGGACGCTGTCCAATTCCTACGGGTTGTTGGAGGCCAAGACTTTGTTCTTCTGCAGTCAAAACACTAATTACTGTTTTCACCACATGTTCATCAACCTACAATAAGATTAATTTTCAGCACTTTTAGAGGGATTGCCTGGAAACTTTTCATAACGCCTACTTTTGTAGAATATTTTACATTTTAATGTGTTTGGTATTTATTTGTCAGCAAATCTTCAAGTTTAAAATTGCCCGATTTTGGACCTTAAAATAAACCCTTTTTATCAAAATTGAAGAACTTTCAGAACCTTTAAGGATAAAACAATTAAGAACAGAATGTTACTGCTGTTCACATCTTTAGAAATGATAAATATGAAAATATTATTAGTGGTTATTAATATGATTGTATTATCAAGGAAACCATTGCAAATAAGTTTCAAGATGGAGTCACATTTGGTCTTTTACACTGCAAAAAATAACACTAAGACAAAATTTGGTGTCCCAAAATTTATTAATTAGCAAACGTAATTGTTATTTGAATTGCATTTGCAAATATAATTTTTGTACCTGAGACCAAGGTTTCGCAGGAGCTCTCATACGACGCAAAAACAATGAATGCCACTTTTGACGCAACTGCAGAGCCAAATGAGCAGCTTCAGCATCCACCCGAAACACCACCCAGTCATCCAATTTCAATGTTGTTGTCTGTCCATCAGGACGATCCTCTACCTCACTATCACTATCTGCTTCTAACGCTCCTTCACCTCGATACACTGAAAATGAAATTCATTAGATGATTTAATTAAAAAACAATTGTGAACTTTTGCTTGGCATCAAAATTATTAACTAGCTTCATTGAACCAGAAAGTTAACATGATAAGAGAAATTTGAAGAAAGGAAGCATAATGAACAATAGTATCCCATTTGACACAAAGGATATGAATATTCTATCAACAGTTACTGTAAGTTTGAGTGAAAATCAGATGTGTCACTTTAAGCCAACTCACCCTTCAATAAAAAAAATTGAAGAAAAAAAAAATTACTTATTACTAGGCCAATAGTATTTGGCAAATATAATAGAGGTATGCAGAAAACAAGCATTAGAGATGAATGTGAAGGTTGGGTTAGAATTTGTAACAAAAAGTAGTATTGGTCCATTTTATGGATGACAGACTTACATGTCCATAATGGAATATAAGAGTTAAAGCTGGAATCAAGCAACCACAGCTACAATCCAGATGAGAGCAGTGGATCTCAAAATTTTCAGAATCTTACTTTTAATTAGAAGCGGATCACACTTCCTGATCAGAGTCAGGAAGTAAAATCTCACGAGATAGAACATGATGGAATTCAACATCAGATGTAAAGACCCACAAGAAATAGCTGATATATTCAATGAACACTTTTCACAAATTAGTAATAAGTTAATCTCTCAACACTCTCTAAACAATAAAAACACACCAAACAAACACTAATATTACATAAATTGTAAAATTCCATATTCTTATATGAAACCACCCCCTCTGAATTTTTAAAATTATGTGGGACAATGGAGAATAATTCTCAGCAGCATGGACAACATTCCAGCTTTTCTTATAAACACAGTGCTCCATGTATAGTGCAACCACTTTCTCACATCTGCAATTACTCTCTAAAATCAGGCATATTCCCAGATATATTCAAAACAGTAAAAATTAAACCATTGTTTAAAAAGGCAATAGTTATGATCCAATGAACTACAGACCTATCTCCCTGTTATCAGGATTTTCAAAAATTCTGGAAAGGCTTTCAATGACAGACTCAAACAGTTTCTCAATGCAAATAATGTCCTTACAAATGCACAACATGGCTTCAGAGTAATAGATCCACAGACACAGCCATCTTCTCCTTTTAAATGACATACTTGTAGCACTAAATCAGAAGGAAATTCCCATTGGCCTTTTCTTAGATTTGTCAAAAGCCTTTGACATCATTGACCATCATATACTTTAAGAAAACTAGAAATGCTAGGGATTTGAGGCACATTGCAGCCAATGGATCAAATCATATTTATCCAAACCATAGCAAATAGTTGCCTCCAACACTCTAAAGAAAACAAAATCTCCTCATACTACTCCTGTCCACAAATAATAAATTGTGGAGTCCCGCAAGGATCCATTCTTGGGCCAATACTATTTCTTATAAACATTAAATGACACCCTTTTGCTTTCAGAACAACAAATAATTTTGTGTGCAGATGATACAAACATCATCATCAAAGCAAAAACACAACAATCATTAGAAAAAGAAACTCACAAAACTTTCAAGCACTAGTAAAATGGTTTCAAGGCAACCAAACTCTCATCAAACACCAGCAAGACAGTCTCTCTAAATTTCATGAATCTTCCGATCTAAAGAAAACTCTCACAGCATTTGCTCATGAACAATAACCCTGTAACGATATCTCATGAAACTATCTTCCTCGGACTAAAAATTCAAGAACAACTTAAAATGGAACACTCACATCTCAATCTCAACCAAGAAGCTCAGCAAATCTTACTATGCCCTATACACCCTCAGGTCAAGCTCCAACATTGAGACACTTCGAACAATGTATTTGCAAATGTGTACTCACACCTAAAATATGGAATAATATTCTGGGGAAATGCCCCTGAAAGCACTCGCACATTTATTATCCAAAAAAGAATATTGCGAACAATGACCAGCACACCCATAAGCTGAAGTCTTGCAAAACCCTTGTTTAATAAACTAAGGATTCTTCAACTACCATGCATGAACATATTGAAATAGTGGTCTTCACAAAGAAAAATTCTCATGGAAAACAAAGACACTTTTAACTTTAAATTCTGATGGGACACTACAAACACCCGTCAAAGGATAACCTACACATTCCCCACTCTGAAACACACTTTATCAAAAAAGTACCCTAATAGAGGCATTACACTTTACAAACAAAATAGGCAATGATATCAAAGACATAAACACAATTCATACATTAAAAGTAAATTGAAAGCTTTCCTGCTTAACAACATGTTCTACAGTGTAAAGGAATTTTCAAATTACAACATTTTCCTTAAAAAATATAAATAAATAAGAATTTCTTATTCCATCAGACTTTCTGTTTCAAGTTGCGGCAAAGAAAAAAAAACTGCATATCGCATCCTGTGAAATAGAAGGAGAATTGAAGAAGAAGAAAAATGGTCAAAACTTGCCTCCTCACCATTTCAAGTTATAAATATAGAATGTACTACTATTGTTAAA